TGCATCTGTGTATGTGTCTGTGTGTCTGTGTGTCTGTGTGTCTGTTTGTGTCTGTGTCCGTCCGTGTGTGTGTGTGCATCTGTGTATGTGTCTGTGTGTGTCTGTCTGTGCGTGTGTATGTCTGTATGGCTTCTCCACATCAGCGCCGTGAGTTCGAGCGCTCAGTACCGCAGCACAAACTCATGTCCGTGTGTCTGTGTATCTGTATGTCCGTGTGTCCGTGTTTGTGCGTGTGTATGTCCGTGTGTGTATGTATATGTCTGTGTATGTGTCTGTGTCAGTGTATGTCCGTGTGTCTGTGTCTGTGTGTGTCTGTGTATGTGCATGTCCGTGTGTCCGTCCGTGTGTGCGTGACATGTATGTGTGTCTGTGTATGTCCGTGTGTCTATGTATGTATGTGTGTATGTAAGTATGTCTCTGTATGTCCGTGTGTCTGTGTTTGTGTTTGTGTTTGTGTATGTCTGTGTCTGTGTTTGTGTGTGTATGAAAGTGTGTATGTGTGTGTGTATGTCTGTGTCTGTGTTTGTGTCTGTATCTGTGTTTGTGTCTGTGTATGTCCGTGTGTTTGTGTATGTATGTGTGTATGTAAGTGTGTCTGTGTATGTCCGTGTGCCTGTGTATGTCTGTGTGTATGTCCGTGTGTCACAGAAAGTCACGGAATGTCACAAACACGGGAAGCATGATAGTCACTTCCCGTCACCGCCGCAGACGTCATGAGTGCGTTTTAGTTGGGAGTGTGCATGCTGTAGGGAGAAGAAAACAAACAGAGGGAGAGCAGGATATGGGAAATAGGAGCAAGAGAGTGAGGGCAGGCTTGAGTTATAAGGTACGCAGGCAACGATACCTTCGTCGACGAAAGCAACGGCGTACACTGTAGACTGAATGCTTGGGAAGATGCAGATTTTGGTTGGAGAATTCTGCTTCGGTGGYTCAACCGTGCGGSGCATAAGAYAACACAAACAGACAGAGAATTAGTGAACAATGTGTCACACACACTCACACAAACTCTACGACACACACAGACTCTTGGTCATTGATGTGTTATGAACATGATTGGCTACTGCGGTTTTGCCAGCCCTCACTCACATAGACTCCCGTTCACGCTCATACATGCAGAGAAGGAAGGGGAGAGGAAGTAGACTGCCACAACGCGGAGAAAAAAAACGCAGTGGCCGGCATACGGAAGCAAAGTGACATAATACACAGTACAGTCTGACATTAAGCAAAATGACGTCACCACCATCAGGCTGCAGAAAAGGAGTAGATGTCGTTGACCACAAAATAGAATCAATCATTATAACCGGCACTGTCTGCGCTCATCATCAACAACACGAATTGCGAAGTCCAGGTAAGAACAAGTCCTCTCCACATATTCTTTCTGCTGTCACGGTGTATCGAAACAATGACAGAAGTCCTCACACCATGACACGCAAGTGTGTTCACAGCATGCATCGTCAACAACCAGAATGACCACAAGTCTTCACTGCTATGAACTTGGTTGCCTGATGAATTTTATCGCCACTCACACACAGACAATCTCACATATGACCATACATGCATAAGAGAACCGGAGAGAGGAGACAGAGTCCACACTGCACACACATGAAAATAAGCAGCGGAAGACAGACATGCACAGGTGGGGAGAAGACACGCAGTGTTTCTCACTCTCTGACACAACTCCCAACAACCAATCACAAGTAAGAACCTGCGAAGATCACAATTAGAAAGGTCACTGATGATGAGCCACTCATACAATTATCGTAACAGAGTTTGTTCCAGTGTCTTGCCACACTCATAACTCACACGCCACTCTCTTTCCTACACCCAGTTAGCAGCGCTGCATCAGAACAGCCTCCCAGAGGTCAGCGGCCCAGCGCCAACCACTCTGATGAAGAACAGGTCATGCGATGAAGGCTTCAGTGTCGATGGACAACTCTGACCAAGGAACAGGCAGCTATGGCTGCCACCACCCACGAACCACCACTGTAGAGCATCGGTCCAGCCCGGCCATACGCAGATACCCCCAGGGGTAGATGCGCTGAGGATGCCTGAGCTATGGCAGACTCAGATGTGGCCGGCTATGGCTGCTGTTACGGTGCGTCTCAGGATGCCGCCTGCAGACCAACACCGCCACCAACTTGCTTGGCTTCTCCAATGCTGTGCGGCGAGAAATGAACTGCGAAAAGTCCTCAACCGGTGGGCCTATCCTATCTATAGAGTCTCTAGACCTAGACCGGACTGACTGACCGACCCGTACTGTTGTTGTTTCGGCCTCTCGGCCTCTACCGGACCCGGCTATAGGCTATAGGACCGTCTAGCAGCATAGGCCACTTAGGGCCTGTCTGTCCTAGGGGTAGCCCGGGCCCGCTATAGGCAGTTAGGGTAGCTGTAGGAATTCGGTTTGTACCGGGCCTGTATTTTCCCGGATTTAGAGATCTGTCCCTCACGAATGTCCTTACAGGCAGGTCTCTCGGTTAGCCCTCAGCCAAATAAATTTACGAATCTAACCCTACGGGTTAGTGTACAGCCTCGCAGTCAATCAGGTCATGCAGCACACAATTGCACAGCTCATGCAGCACATAGTTGCACAGCACTTAGCACACAGCAGCTCATGCAGGATCGGCAGTACGCAGCTCATGCAGCATACAGCAGGATAGCCAGACCGTTGCTGGCCCCATACACAGACAGCACACGTCGTGCACCGGCGACAGCACACAGCACACAGCACACTACAGTACAGCCTCTGTGCGCCAGCGCAGGCTGCAGAAAACAGCAAGTCAGCAACGTGCAACAGTCAATACTGCACCTACACACTCATACACATTATATTTGTATGTCTGCGAACTGGTCTCAGTGCAGTCTTCACTGTGTTCTTATTTCATGCTTTTCTTTGCTGCATTGCCTTTGCGCGGCGCTCCTTTCCTCTTCGACGACCCCGCAGGAATGTCACCGCCTTTGCGAGTTGTTGCTGTCTTCTGAGACACCCCCTTCCCCCTCTGCGTTTCTCTCTCCACCTGCCTTGCAGCATTCATATGCCGTAGCTTTTCCACTCTCTTCTCCTCGTCGATAATGCCTTCATATTTGTATTGTCAGCGAGCCTTGGCCAAGTTATCAACCAGCCTCAGTTCCTTCAGCTGGATCATCACCCTCTTGCAGTGGATAGCAATGATGTTTGTTCTCTCGAAATGGTTGATTAGATATGCTTCAGCCGCTTCCAGCAACGCACGTATGGCGTTCATCTGAAACCTTATAGATTGCCCTGGTGCGATTTCTTTCTCGACGAACTCTCACACGACCCTCATGAACGGCCTCAAAGCGATGAACAAGTGAGTAGATCGTTGGAGTTGCCAAATTTCTGCCAATGCTGCCATCCCTGCACGGCGCCTGCGCTTTGGAACTGGGGCAGCGACTGCTTTGGAAGTCTGGCCTCGATCTGGGATTTTATCTTTGCCTTTTGCTTTTGTGGAACTCCCGAATTCACGAGGCGGCCTATATGTGCACTGCTTCTTCTTCTTCTCTGCCCTCCCTTTCACGTGCTCCGCAAGGGTGTTTTGCATTAGAACATCCCCCATCATTTGTTGTTTCCGGACCGTCGACCTCAGTTGGCAAATTTGAAATTTTCTGCTGCTGCTGTGTTGTTGGTTGTGCATTCGATGCAGCACGAGCGTCGTCATCACCCACGTATTGAATGTGTCGCAGCAGTCCATCTATGTACGTGAGCTGGAAAAGGACACCCAGAGGGTCTCTGAATCTCATGCACATCTGTTCACCATGGTCATATGTCATGGGACAAACGACAGGGACCCACCCAAGAAGTGATGTGCACCCGTGTCTGCGTCGAATGCCCTCCAGAAACATGTCATCCGTCAAGGGCTGTGCTTGCTCGGTGCACGAGTCTTCCACGATCGACCACATCGTCTGGTCATTATGGGAGTCATATCCCATGCACACCATCTATCGTTCTTCCTCCCTTATCTTCTCCCAGCAACGTTGCGCGTGCTCCTCCAGCAATCCCCGGTCCTTCACATGAGGATTGCAAACGGAGACACGTGTCACCACCACCAAGAACTGTCAATGCTCCACAACGCCAGCATGCATCCAACCCAAAGGCAGCCACTCACCAGATTGCATTCTTGCTGCCAGTGTCACTTTGCCATCAACAACTGCTGGATGCAAAGAACCAGGTACCCAATTGACATGGTACCCGTACATGTCGCGGGCCACATGCTGGTACAACTGCCCTTCTTGAATCACATGGGTCACAATGTTACTGGTTGCAACCACATCCTTCCGCATTGCCACATGGTCCCATACGTCCATACAGATGCCATCAAATGTAGTTTCTTTCCCCCTTACGTGGACGTATGTGATGCACTTCTCACCACTAAACACCGTCCCTTCACCGAGGGCCAACTCGACAGGATTGCCAAGTGGCGGGTCAAAGATGCGTGCATTGTGTGGCCGACATGTCACCGCCACCTTTTCGTCTGCAGTCGCTTCTCTGTCGAAATGACGGAAGGAAAACATGTTGTTCAAGTAATGTGCGCTCCACACATTGCCCATGATATCACGCACTTGCATCTTAACACGGCCATATCCAAATGGGATTTCTGATGGCACCCAACCCGATCGAGGATCCCTTCTTGCATCATCCTGGCTGATTGGCGTCCCCCCCCTGCGTTGCTGGCCACCCAACACCCACAGTTGTCCGCAGTCAAAGTTGTCATATAAGCAATCGTTGAGCAGCAACTCACCCTTTGCCTCTAGAACACGATACATCTCCAATGCGTAATGGCAAGCATCGTGGGTCGTTGCTCCATCATTCAACCTCAACACTCTGTCATAGATAAATGACAGACATACGTTACGCCATGTTCCTTTCTTTGAGGCAGGAACAGCAACCCACTGATCAGCAACCTTGAAAGCAAAGCAATGCACACCTCCAACGATACCTGGTTGAACACGACCTGGCACCCAATTCACATCGTACGGGTATGTATCTCCTGCCATTGATTGTCTTTGTCACATTTGCATCTGTGACAATGCATCCACTGTGAGGACCCTCGCTGCCAACATCTTCCTCGTTTCTCTCTCCACCCACCTTCTCTATCTCAGCACTGTTCCCTCGTGCGCCGCTATCGTTGTTATCCACGTCAGCAAGCATCTGCTCAGTTTCCATATGAATTGTTGCGAACACCTCTTCACATGCAGCACTGGCTGTGCCCCCGCCGCTGGTCTGCTGATGAACTGTGGTTTCGTTGACCTCACTTGCAGGGGAAAGACCACTTAGAATGACTTCTGTTTCCATGACGTTGATATCTCCAGCATTGGCGGCTGTTGCAATTGCGGGTTCCATCTAAATATTTGCACAACACATAAGGTCGTGAGTCGACATTGCTGACAAAATGTTTCCACAAGAGAGAGAGAGAGAGAGAGAGAGAGAGAGAGAGAGAGAGAGAGGGAGGGAGGGAGGGAGGTTGGCTACTGCGGGCCAGAAAGACGTTATAGAGTAACGTTTAACCGTATTATGGCACGCAGTAGTCAACCGACTCATTCATAGGCTGAGAGAGAGAGAGAGAGGTTGGCTACTGCGGGCCAGAACGATGTTATTGAGTAACGTTTAACCGTAATATGGCACACAGTAGTCAACCGACTTCTTCGTAGGCCAGAACATAATGACATTGAAGCAGACACTTCATACATGTATACATATATGCATATATGAGAGAGGGAGAGAGGGAGAGAGGTTGGCTACTGCGGGCCAGAACGATGATATAGAGTAACTTTTAACCGTATTATGGCACGCAATAGTCAACCGACTCATTCATAGGCTGAGACAGGGGTTGAATAGGCGAACATGGCGACAATAACATAATGACAATAAAGCAGACACTTCATACATGTATACATATATGCATATGAGAGAGAGGAAAAAAAAAAAAAAAAAAAAAAAAAGAGAGAGAGAGAGAGAGAGGGAGAGAGAGAGAGAGAAAGAGAGAGAGAGAGGTTGGCTACTGCGGGCCAGAACGACGTTATTGAGTAATGTTTAACCGTATTATGGCACGCAGTAGTCAACCGACTCATTCGTACGCTGCGACATGGGTTGAATAGGCGAAACTGGTGACAAGAACATAATGACATTAAAGCAGACACTTCATACATGTATACATATATGCATATGAGAGAGAGAGAGAGAGAGAGAGAGAGAGAGAGAGAGAGAGAGAGAGAGAGGTGTTGACTACTGCGGGCCAGAACGACGTTATTGAGTAACGTTGAACCGTAATATGGCACGCAGTAGTCAACCGACTCATTCGTAGGCCAAAACATAATGACATTAAAGCAGACACTTCATACATGTATACATATATGCATATGAGAGAGAGAGAGAGAGGTTGGCTATTGTGGGCCAGAACGACGTTATAAAGTAATATTTAACCGTATTATGCCACGCAGTAGTCAACCGACTCATTTATAGGATGAGACAGGGGTTGAATAGGCGAACCTGGTGACAAGAACATAATGACATTAAAGCAGACACTTCCCCCATGTATACATATATGCATATGAGAGAGAGAGAGAGAGAGGTACATCAAACTTMTTTAACGAGACGTTCAACCACGATTTTACACCTCTTATAGAGTGCCCTTAGCCGGTCGCTGATGTGGAGTCCTTTCTTGCAATGCTAACAATCGATGGTCTGCGCACGACGATCTGTGTTTGCTACGACCTTCGACATCATCTCTTTTGCAAAAGAAATGAGATGGGATATACAGTCCGCCACGAGCCTTGCCATTTGTCGTTTATTCGTACTTGACACGAACTGTTCAAATATTTCCGTGGTCATAGGTACTGCTGACTCTTCATCGCTTGTCAACAGTGCTTTGCAAACGAGGACGCAAGGGAAATTGTGTCGAATTTCATGAGGTCGAAAGGATTTGATATCGTTGCAGTCTAGCAGCAAGTGTGCTGCTGGCTCACAGACACTTCGACCTGTGTTGCGATCGCACATCCGCATAGTGAGATCATCTTCCCGGCTTGCATTCGCAACTTGCGCATTGTATGTTTTCATGGTTTCTACGGGGTTCGGCGTTACAGACAATTGTCCCGATGCCAGGCGATCTCTGGTGTACTGAAGCGAACATATAATATCGGCGTAGCTGTTGAGCAGAGACCTCAAGTTCCCATTAAGGCCATCGCATCCCATATGTGCACCATCGGTCTGCAGGCGATGGTTAAAAGTGTAGTGGTCTATGGTCTCCGTGCAATAACGGATGCAGTCATCGGCAAAAGACAAGAGGTCTACAAGACTTTTTGACGAGGCTGTCAGCGAACCGCTGTTCAGATCCTCACTATCGTAAGACGCGCACCCTTCCCTGACCACGCATTTGTCCACAGAGGAACAACATGTGACATCCCATTCACAAGCGTTTTGTGCTCTGGCACCGAATGCAGTGTCCGTGTGAAGAAGACGTTTTTTCCGATAACATTTAAGATCAGCAACCATATCCTAGTACTCCTCAAACGTGCCCTTCTTCTCCTTAGCTATTTTTTTGAGTTCTTTGGTCATGACCTCCCTCAGATCCGTCACAAGAGACTTCGGATCGGGCAGCAACAACCAGAATATGCTATACAATCTATGTTCCGCAGTTTCTGTCATTTTCACGAGTGTAAGTTCCACACGGGCTATCTCGTATCGCGCCTGGGTGAGCAACTATTTCTGCTCGATTACTTCAGCTGTCAGTTTATCTATAACTTCTTGCTGCTTTTCAACTATCTCAGCCCAGCTCTCACCGATTAAAGCCTGTGTTCCATCTTTGCCCCCCCACGGTGCATATGGATTTGGTGATCGTTCGCACTCTATCTCTTCTCCTGCCTTTGGTTTGTCTCCGACTTTCGACATTCTTGATATCTGGAGATAGATAGATAGATAAATAGAGAGAGAGAGAGGGAGGTTGACTACTGCGGGGCAGAATGGTGTTATTCAGTAACGTTTGACCCTATTATGGCACGCGGTAGTCTACCGAGTAAGTCGTAGGGTGACGCAGGGGTAAAAGAAAAAGTAGAAGAAAAAGAAGACGAAGAAGAAGAAGAAGAAGAAGAAGAAGAAGAAGAAGAAGAAGAAGAAGAAGAAGAAAAGAAGTAGAAGAAGAAGAAGAAGAAGAAGAAGAAGAAGAAGAAGAAAAGGGGAGGGGATGGGGGG